GGGTTCTATTCATCCTCTCTACCTGCCCTGAACTCTGGGGTCTATAAATGCAATGAAGTTTCCAATTAATCCCTAGACTAGCCGCTAATTCTTGTGAAACCTTAGAAACAAATGCAGGTCCGTTGTCAGATCCTATGGCTAGGGGTACCCCATATCTAGGTATAATTTCTCTCATTAGAATCTTACAGACTATGGAGGCCGTCTCTCCTCTTGTGGGGAAAGCCTCGACCCACCCTGAATAAGTGTCAACTAGGACTAGTAAATACTTGTAGCCCAACTTCCCTCTAGCCATTTCAGTGAAGTCAACTTCCCAGCGTTCTCCTGGGGTATTCCCTCGATATCTCACGAAGCAGGGCAACTTCTTGTTTTGTGCATTTACCTGAGCACATGCCCTACACCGTGAGGTGATCGAGTGAATTACTGCTCTGAGGTGTGGCCCTAGGTAGTACTTTCTAATCAGTTGCTCTAACTTATTCTGACCTAAATGGGTGCTGGTATGGATATCTTGCACTACTTGCCTTACTACTCCTTGGGGCAAGTAAATCCTAGTATCAGGGAGTACTATCCATCCATACTTATATTTTCTTCCACCTAATTTGGTTCCCTCTTGCTCCTCCTCGGTGGAGTATTTGGGATCCGGAGGCAATTCTGGCTGGGGAACTAGGGGGAGCAAATTGTCACCTTGGCTTGTTGCAGTCTCCTTGGCGGCAGTATCAGCTAAAGTATTTCCTCTTATAACTGGGGAATCTCCCTTCTGGTGGCCCCTGCAATGTATGATAGCAACTTTCTTGCGTAGCCATATGGCCTCTAGGAGGGTGAGGATCTCCTCACGATTTTTAATGTCCTTGCCTCCTGCGGTCAGGAGGCCCCTTTCCTTGTAGATAGCTCCATGGACGTGGGTGGTGGCGAAGGCATAGCGGCTTTCAGTATAGATATTGACGACCTTTCCTTCGGCTAGTCTTAGGGCCTGGGTCAGTCCTATTAACTCCGCTCTCTGTGCAGATGTTCCTTTGGGCAATGCCTTTTGCCATAGCACCTTATCCTCTGTGGTCACTGCTGCTCCTGCATACTGCTGTCCATTTTTGATAAAACTACTCCCATCAGTAAATAGAGTCAGATCTGCCTTTTCATAGGCTTGGTCTCGCAAGTCTGGGCGGGCCCCGGTCACTGTGTCTAGGACCTGGGTGCAGTTGTGAACAATCTCAGCATCTGGAATCGGTAGCAAGGTGGCCAGATTCAAGGCAGTTGTCTTAAGGAACTGCACTGCTGGAGGATTCAACAGTTGGGCCTGATACTGCGTCAGCCGCACATTTGACAACCACCTGTCTGGGGGTGACCGCAGGATTTGTTCTATATAATGTTCACCAATAACTTGTATATCCTGTCCCAGAGTTAGCTTACTCACTTCCTTGACTAGCAATGAGGTGGCTGCAATGGCCCTCAGGCAGGCCGGCCACCTGGAAGCAACCGGGTCAAGTTTCTTGGATAAATAGGCTCCGGGTCTCTTCCATGGCCCTAGTGTCTGACTCAATACACCTACGGCTACTCCTTCTTTTTCTGCTACAAACAATTGGAAAGGCTTAGCCAAATCTGGCAGGGCCAGAGCTGGGGCAGCTACTAATGCTTCTTTTAAGGACTGAAAGGCTTGTCTCTCTTTTTCAGTCCATGCGAATGAGTCCTCTTTGCCCCTGGTTAGCTCATGCAAGGGCCTCGCTAGTTCTGGAAAGCCTAATATCCACAGCCTGCAGTATCCCACGGCCCCCAGAAATTCACGTACCTGCCTTTTGGTGGCCGGCTCTGGAATTTGCAGAACTGCCTGGATCCGTTGACTGGACAGAGTCCTCTGTCCCCCCTGCAAGTTGTACCCCAAGTAACTTACAGCTTGAGTCACGATTTGGGCTTTCTTGGCGGAGACCCGGTATCCCATCCTCTCAAGGTCCCGCAGCAGGTCTAGGGTGGCTGTTTCACATTCCTCTTGTTCTTGAGCTGCTATTAGAATGTCATCTACATACTGGAGGAGAACTATGGTGGGGTGAGATTTCCGAAACTCCTGGAGGTTTTTGCTGAGGGCCTCATTAAAAATTGTAGGTGAGTTTTTATACCCCTGGGGCAGTCTGGTCCATGTGAACTGCCCTACTAGTCCATTTTCGGGGTCGTTCCATTCAAAAGCAAAAATCTCCTGGCTCTGAGGAGCCAGGGGTATACAAAAGAAGGCATCCTTCAAATCTAAAACAGAGTAATAAGTATGCGTTGGGGGCAATGAGCTTAACAGCGTATACAGGTTGGGGACAGTGGGGTGTATTGTCTCGACTCGGGCATTCACCTCCCGCAAGTCCTGCACTGGACGGTAATCCTGGGTTCCAGGTTTCTGGACAGGCAACAAAGGGGTATTCCATGCGGACTGACACTCTCTTAGAATGCCTGCTTCTAGCAGGCACCGCAAGTGTCTCGCAATCCCTTGCCTGGCCCGCGCTGGTACAGGGTACTGTCTTATTCTGACTGGGCTTGCTGTACTGGACAGCTGAACCAGCACCGGTGGCTGGTGGACGGCCAGCCCAGGCGGGTTAGTTTCTGTCCACACCCCTGGTACCTTTGACTGCAGCGCTTCAGAGACTCTGGCGTCCCCCCGCCTCTCTTCCTGGAGCGCAGCCAGCAAGTACTCTGAGCTCAGAGAGGGGAACTGTTACCTCCACGCTGGCTCCTGCCGCGGGGTCTTCTTGTTGCTTGAAGGTTATAGTGGCTTGGAGCTTCTGCAACAGGTCCCTCCCCAGCAGCGGGTATGGACAGTCTGGGATAACTAGGAAGGAATGAGTGATCGTGCCCCGACCCAAGTCCGTGATTCTGGCAGTTGTCCATGGGTAAGCTTCTGCTTCACCCGTTGCCCCTACAATCTTGGTGGTTGCCTTCTGAATTTGCCCTCGTGGCTGCTTTAGGACGGAATAAGTGGCTCCCGTGTCGACCAGGAAGTGTATTTGCTTGCCCTTGACAGTTAAGGTGACCATGGGCTCCTGGGAGCCAACAGGTATGGAGCCCTGGCCCCGTCAATCCAGAGTCTGGAGGAGGACTTCCGGGCCATGCTCTGGGCCCTTACTTGCTCCTCCTAACTTTGGGCAATCCCGTTTCCAGTGTCCTTTCTCCTTACAGTAGGCACACTGGTCTTTGTCTAAACGCTGTCTCTGACCTTTCTGCTGCTTTCCACTTCCTTTTCCTTTCGGAGGTGCCTTCTGTGCCTCGAGCAGGATTTTGGCCACTTCTTTCGCTCTCCCTACTTCTGGGTCATCCCTGTTTATATATACTTTCTGTGCTATTTCTAGGAGCTTGCTTATATTTTCTCCCTCAAACCCTTCGAGCTTCTGTAGCTTCTTTCTGATGTCTGAGGCTGCCTGAGTCACAAAGGCTATATTGACTAATCTCCTGTTTTCAGGTGCCTCTGGATCTAGTGGGGTATACACCCTGTAAGCCTCCCTCAAGCGCTCTAAGAAAGCCCCGGGCGACTCATCTCGTCCTTGCACAACTTCACTGACTTTACTAAAATTAGTGGGCTTCCTAGCTGCTGCCTTGAGACCCCACAACAGAGCCCGGCAATATTGGAGGAGCGCTTCCCTCCCACCACTCGAATTTGGATCCCAATTAGGAGGTTGGGAGGGCAGGATACCCTTTAGCTCTAACCTTCCTCCCACAGTGGCCCCCTCCTCCCCTATAATGGCTTTTGCAGCCTCTCCCATAATTCTATCCCCTTCCTCTGAGGTGAACAAGGTGTGCAGAATCTGTTGGCAGTCATCCCAAGTGGGCTGGTGTGTCCTAAAAATAGTTTCTAAAAGGGAAATTAACCCCTGCGGCTTCTCTGAGAAAGGGGGGTTCTGGTGCTTCCGGTTGTATAAATCACTGGTGGAGAAGGGTACAGATCAAGCGCGGGGGAGCCGGCGGCGCATCCGGCGCGGTGGGGGCCTCTCGCAAGGGTAAAATGGCCCCTCCTGCCTGAGGAGGTAAAACGGCGGCCACTGTATCTGCCCTGTTGGGGGGCCCGTACCTTTACTATACTGAGTGCCGCCACGAGTATGAGGCGGACTCTGGACCCCTCTACCCTCCTCGGAGGAGTCTGGCAGGTGCTGGGTTGGATACGGGGGTGGAACAAGGGCTGGATCCAGAGGATCCTCGGGCTGACCGGGCAGTACGGGGTATAACCTGGGTCGGGCTGTAGTTACAGTACGTGACCCCCCCGCATCTGGTTCTTCTCTCACCCCTGTGTCACCTTTCTGCCCTGTGGTTACACAGATTGCCCTCTTCCCCCCCTTATTGGCCTGTATACATTTCCGAATGTATCCAGGACGTTCAGGGGCTATATCTACCCAGACATCAATATAGACAAACTGATCAGGGTGGGGCACCCGATACACTGTGGCCCGAACAGCAAACAAGCAGGGGGAGATCAAAGGTCCCTTCGGTGGGCCACCCCACGTCAAAAGTTGGCCACTCAATCTGGCTGAGGGTCCGCAGGAACTCCGGGTCGGGCGGAGGCCCACCGTATCCACTAGCCCGCCTCTGAAAATCAGAAAAGTTGTTCAATAGACAGTCGAGGGGCGATCTAGGCACTGATCCATTCTGGCCCATCCTGAAGTGCTGGACAACCTTAGGGATTTCAGAAACAAGAAAAGAAATGACCAGAGCTAACACAAAACACGTAAACAAACGCCACAACTCCCTACCATGCACTCTCCTCTCGTACACAGGCGAACCGCGGTTCTCAGGCCTGCGTTCTCTTGCAGCGCAGCGCAAAGTGGAACTAAACACAAAGCGGCCTAGTCGCCACTCCCGAGGGCGTCCCCTCTTCCGGGAGCCCCTGGGTGGTATTGCGGTGACGTCTCACCTACCACTTCAGGGTCAAACAGTCTAGACTTCCAAACTAATTGCAAAACAGGATCCTTGTTACTTACGTTCGCTCGAGCAGCTCACCCAGTCTCCGAATTTAGATTTTATATCTCGCTAGGGCCTCCAAATGTTACATCCCGTCCCTCGCCGGAGCAAGAAGGGTCGGAGACTGCTGGGTAGTCAGAGGTGTTTTATTGGCCAAAATTTCAAAGTTTTACCTGCGCAGGGGCGAACTCTCGGGGTGCCTCCGGAGACACACGAGTGCCAAAATGGCTGCAAATGAGAGTCGCCCCAAACGCCTACAGACTAGGGTTCTTAGAGAAGCGAGCAAGCAAGCAACTTCCAGAAGCAGAAGGTGGCAGTTAGCTATTGGCTCAGGGGCTATACCAAGGTGCGTGATCTGACCAAGGACTGGTTACTAGAGCTCGTGGACAGCTCGTGATAGTATGGCTGATTGGCTCTTAAACCTCATGCTGTGGTTGTGGTCTTTTTACCCGCCCCCCCCACTTGGCGTTCCAGGAGCTGACTTAACACAATCAGCTCTGTACCTCCTTTAAGTGCACCCTGTCCTTATGGTCGATCGAGCAGCTAAAGTTGAGAACAATCACTTTGAGAACAATCACTTCCTCGTTTCCCTGGCTCCTTCACCTAGTAGCCCCAATATCCTCGGTTAGCAAAATGCATAATTTTATTTCATTACTTTATTTATTTCAAAGCATATCATAACCAAACACTTTTGCTAATTATGACTGAGCTGTTCATCTAGGCAGTCCATTGCAGACAACCTCACAGACAACTGCAAATTGTCTTTTCAAAGGAAGCCCTGGCAAACCATTTCTTTGCCCTTGCCAAATGGTGGACACTGTACTTAGAGATTTGTTCCACAGCCACCTGTTAACTGTGAGAAGTCATGTGCCGAGAGAGATGGTGGCGTTCCCGGAAATACTCATGACAAATGGGGCATGTGAGTGCCTCTTCTGGCAGCTTCTTAGAATGTAGGTCAGGCCCTGCATGTTCCTTTTTGTGGTGGGACCGCATATGAAAAACCAGGTCCGAGGTCATATGAAAGGAGAGGTTGCACTTTGCACACCAGTTCTGGGTGGATAAGCCTTGGGAAGGGAACGTGGGTGGCAGGAGGGCCCAAGAGGCAGGGGAAGGTGATGACAAGGGTGTGGGTATCTGGTTCATGGCATGGTTAAGCCACAGTGTAGGGGAACCCAGTAAAGCACTGCAGAGATGAGTGTTCTGTGGCAGCATTTTCGGGTTCCAGAAATCACCCACAAAAAGCTTAGAATTGGAAAGCTGACCCCAACAAGGTAAATCTCCAGTCTTGATGAGTCCCAACAGCTCCCCCATGGCATCTGCAGGTCTGCTTGCCTGAAAAAGAGAGGTTGACCCAGGTCTTCCTGATAGATACCTGGCTGGCTTGCTGAAGGCACTTCTCTGCTCCTGTGGGGCTCTGCTGGGCCGCACAGAGAAGACTATACTGCCAGCTGGTTTCCAGGGGATGTCCTGGGTTAGCTGTTGAGGGTCAGGCTGGCCTGTGAGGGCACCATGCTCCCTATCTTTGGCTTGTCTGCCCTGTAGCCTTTTCTTGAGCTGAGAGACCTCCAGGAAGGTGCTCTGCTCCTGTTTCCAGCACACCTTCTGGGCCAATGACTTTCCCAATCTAACCTTCCCTGGGGGTGTTACCAGTGCCAGCTCCACACTGGTCTCATCCTGGCCACTCCTACTGATGGCACCCTGGGAGTCCGGGAAGTTTGCTTTGTCCAGCTGCATTGGCTCGCAGCCCTCACTTTGCTTGGGTTCACTAAGCCACTGACTATTTTCAGATGAAGGGCTATGCAGAATCCCCTTCCGAGCAGCCATGTTGATTGGCAGGGCCTGGGGCAGCTGAGCAAGGTGGACACTCCAACAGTTGTCGTCTTCAGGGCTTTGGCATTCTAGAGGGCTTGGCCTGGGTAAGAGCTGCAGTATTGGAGAGCACCCCCTGCTGGTTGGGCCAGCAACACTTGGACCATAGGACTCTGCAGAGAGAGGAAGCAGCAGGCAGTGAGAGAGGTGCTCTTCACTTGTTGTTTGCATTCAGAGAACCCTGACTACTATAGATGCCACAACTCACCCTGTCCCAGAGTTCTATACCACATGCTTTCACCTCCAGGACTCCATTAGGGAGGAATGACCACACTGTACAATGTTGCCACCCAGAGGCATGGCTCACTACTCTCTCCATACCTGTCAACGTCTAGGCAGTAGCTGCTGTATTAATGGAGCACATATCAACCAGCCAGTTCTGATTCTGTTGACAGCTCTAACATGTTTGGATGCTAATTTAGGGAAGTTTGCATTCCTTGCTACACAGCATGCCAATTTCCTCCCTGAATCTTTAGAAGTGCCAAGAACTTTAGGCACCTGGGGACAGGAGCCCCTGCAGGTAAACATGTGTGGAGAGATGGAAGCTGAAGCAATAAATATCTAGGCATGACAGGGTGGGTCTGGGGCTGTGCCTGGCTGCCCCTTATACCCCACACCTGGGGCACGGGGTACAGGGGGCAGCCACCTCTCTACTTGGCCCTACCCTAGGAACAAGTGAGGGTCTCTCCTGTCTCTGCTTGCTGGAAGTGAAAACACTTGGTTCTCACACATGAATCCACTTTATTTCTTTCGGCTCCCCTGGTAACTGTCAACTGTCCTCTGTGCCCACCTGCTGGACATACTAAGGTAACCAAGCTTCCATTTTGCTCTTGAGGCTTCAAGGAGAGATATATAGTGGCCATTTGTGAGGGTGGCATCAAGGGGAAGAGGGTGCCATCAGCCCTGCTGGGGAGGCATTCATTCCTGCCTTTCCGTAATCAGATCCATCAGCAAGTTTTAGAAATTGGGAAACCCATCTTCAAGAACCCCACCTCAGCTGGTGAGTAGTACTGCTAGGCCACAGTTGACTGAGTGCTCCAAGTTTTCATCATTAGAAAATATTTATTCCCAGGCCCATAAAGACCGTAAGGAGTAGGTGGCTGAGCTTCTTCACAGGTATCTCCATGGGCTTTTTATGTACAAATACCATGTGTGCTCATATCAGCTCTTTCTGCTAGTCCTGCTGCCTGCCCCACATAGAGAAGGAAGCCCAGACACCCTGCCTTCCCTCTATCTCAGTGGCAGGAGTCTGTGATGGGTATTTTGCATATGTTACCTCCTTCCATCTTTGCCCTTTTTCACAGATGGTAGGACACAAGTTTTGGAAAGCTACACACCCTGCCCAATGTCTCCTGTCGGTAGGAGGTGCAGCTGGTGTTGAAAACTATAGGGAACTGATCTGCCTGGCAATGGCGAATGTAGCCCAGCCCTATTGGAAAACCCATAGGTATGTGGTGGCACACAGGACACCAAACCCACAGATCAGCTTTCCCATGGGATATCAGGTCTGAGTTGTACCTGGGCTGCTTTGAAACTTGTTCTTGCTAAAACTCCCTCACCCTGAGTTGAAGCAGAAAATGCTTACTGCATATCTTTAAAGTAACGTCCTGAAGTCTGTGCTAATTCTCCCAAGGACTGAAGTATAACCAGAGCAATTACTCTTATTGTTCCCACTCATTTGCAAAATATTTTCCTTGTTAAGCTGTAGGAAATAATCAATAACATCCTTTCCTTTGTTATCTGTAAAAATTAATTACTAAAGCAAACCTAAGCATAATGAATGAGAGCCTTCTTTCATGTATGCTATCAGAAAGCCATCAAAAGCTTGTCAAGGCAAGTATGGAGGTGCTTTGAGAGAGTGGCCAAGTCATCCCTTTTCCTCCACAAGACTTTGGTAGTCCATGTGGATTTGTTTCATCTCATCCACAACACCGCGGACACTGCTGGCAAGAGTCCACATCAGAAACCCTAAAGTGTGTCCCCAAAGCCTGCCTTAATTGAACTACCCATGTCACCCTCACAGTGCCCTGGTAGTAAGCACCAAGTCCAAACTGTGCTTCCAGGAGGATCTGAGACTTTCTTAACATACCTTCCAAACTAATTCTTCAAAAAGGATGCCATTGACATCAGAGATTAGTGCTAGCCAATGTTTCTTGAAGAAGCAGAGGCAGCCATATCAGCACATTACTGAGTTCCCCTGAACTGACTATCCACCTCTCTCAGCCTCAATTTCTCATCTACAAACTAGGGTTGAGCTAAATTATTTCCACAATCCTTCCCAAATCTATCAGTGCATGACTCTAATTGGGGTGAAGCCAAATCTCTCCATTTCTCAAAAAGTAACTGATAGGCTTAAAGCTTTATTGCTGTGCTTCCCATGAGCTCTACAAAGAAACAGATGCCCAGGCCCTGGCAGAGTGGCTCATTTTACTTGGAGCATCATTTCAAGCACCAAAATGGTTGCAGGTCCCATTGCCAGCCAGGGCACATACCTAGGTTGTGGACTCGATCCCCTACTGGGGTACATATGGAAGACAACTGATCGATGTTTCTCTCTCACCTCAATATTTCTCTCTCTCTTTCTCTCTTCAGCCTTCTCTCTCTAAAATCAATAAAAAATATCTTTGGGTGAGAATTAAACAAAAAAAACCACATACTTGTGTATATTCATACCCTCACACATATACAAATATACACACATTTACATACACTCACACTCATACATTCACACATACACTTACACTCATACTCAAATACACATATAACACACACACACACACACACACACACATACATCTCTGCATCCCCTTCTTTCTCTTTCTCTCAGGCAGTTCTCTAGATGATATTTTATTTTATTTTTTTAAATACTTTATTTATTTTTAGAGAGAGTGGAAGGGAAGGAGAAAGAGTGGGAGAGAAACAGCAATGTGTGGTTGCCTCTCATGTGTCCCCCACTGGGGACCTGGCCTGAAACCTAGGCATGTGCCCTGACTGGGAATCGAACCAGCGACCCTTTGCTTCACAGGCCCGTGCTCAATCCACTGAGCTACCCCAACCAGGGCTAGATGATATTTTAAAACTATCATGTAGATATACTTCACAAGCCTGGACAAGAGCCTCCTTGCTGTCCTCCTGGTTATGCTGCACCCCAACATCTCTCTGTAGAGAGCCCCAGTGGGCTGCCTTCACAACTCAGACAATCTCTGCTAACCACAGCTGTGTGGACACTGTTGCCAGGACTGTACAGAGTGCCCTTAGCCACAGATGCGACCCTCTTTTCATCACTGAACTTTTGGATATGTAGTCTTACTACAGGATAGAATATTTGTTACCAGGCTCCTTTATGACCTAAGAATAGAAATCACTGTTTATCGACTACTTAAGTATCTATATGCCTTAGGCTTAATCGCCTTACTTCAAGGCATTTTCACAAGACCCATGTAAGGGAAGTTGCATGTCTCAACCCAAGTGCAATCATCCTCAATCTGTCAAATACCATGTTGCTAAACTCAGCACTGCATTTCAGCTTTTTGAGACACTGTGGATCTGGATTCTGCTAACTGCTCTGTTAGATATCCATCTAACTTCACCCTCCATCAATGCTGCAAGACAAATTTCAATAATGATAAGGGGAAGAAAGAAGACAAGAAAATGACATAATATAAAATAATAATGAGGAGGAGGAGGAGGAAGAGCAGGAAAAAGGGAGAAGAAAAGGAGCAAATAAAGATACTGACTTTTGGCATGACTCCCAATCTTCCTGAGGGTCACTAACTCTCACAGTAGAGCATCATCACTACTGGAGTAAAGTTACTCTGGCAAGTGCAAAAAATATCCACAATACTCTGTTTGCAGTCCCATCTAATCTCAGTCCACTCTGTCTGCAACAATCACCCGATCCAAGCTTCTCAAAATGGAAAATGATGTGAGTCTGACATGGCTTCTCCCCAGTGAGCCCCTGCCAACTTCTGATGCTCAACTCTTCTTAATGGTAGACTCTGAGGCTCTTTTCCAAGGTCAGCAATACACTTGGAGTCTCATCCAGCTCCAAGCTACCTGCACCTCTATCATGTACCTAGAGGACCTTTGCAGATATGTGAACATCATCTCTGGGGTCACTCCATGCCCTGGCCAGTGAGTTCAGGGACGGAAGACCAAATGCACAGGCCACATGCACTGTCTCACTTCTCCTTTCCTACTTATACCTACCAGTGTCCTTTGAAGCTAGGGGATGGTTCTCTGTCCCAGGGCATAGCGAAGCTGCTCCTTCCTCTTTCACCTTCCACAGACACCAGCTGCCCTGGCAGCCAGGGGTCTATGCAGCCCTTATTCTCCTTGCCCTCTACAAATATTAATGAACACCTTGTTGTCCTCTGCTCTCTTCAATAAGCTCAATTTATTCTAGAATCTCAACTTGTGCTATTATTTACTGGTCATCATCACTCTCTGTCCTGTGTGTCCTGAGAGGGGGTTTTTCTTGTTCTCCTCAGTTCTTTCCATCTGAACTCAGTAACACATTCTCTGAGCCACACAGACATCTTTCAGTACCACCTATGTTGTTCCAATGAAAAGAAATTGATTTCAGTCTCAAACTCTTCAACAATTTCTGAGCCTTTAGATCATGGGATTACTTAATGATGATCTCTGAAACTGAGATTCCAAGTCCACAAGGTTTCTGACTACATCCAGCCTTCCCTACCATGGGAATGCTTCTCCCTTGGGCTCCCAAAGTTACTGGGCCACAAACCAGGATTCTACTGACCAACGGGGGAAGTGCTACATTATATGAAATGAAGCCTCACCCACCCCATGGTGTTAAAAGCACATGTTTGTTTGTTACCTATTCTCAAGGTATTGACTGAAGATTTGGATCATTCCTTATCTAGGAAGCACTTGACACATTCTCCCATATTACTTTCCTTTTCATGCCATAACCAGGCTATCCTATGTAATCATCAAGCCTTTTATTACATAGAAGTGCACAAGCTCTTGGGTCAGATGCTTAATCTGCTCTTACCAACTGGTCACCCTGGGCAAGGTGCTGATCTTCTCTCTGCCTGTGTTTCCCATTTTCAAAAAAGGATCACCTTGGTGCCCACTTTATTAGATATTT